GGTATAAATAAAATGGTTTCTATAAGTATATTTTGTGATTATTAGTAGATTGAAGATTTAAAAAAAATTTACAGATTAAAGATGATACCTACATTAGGATTTTTGGAAAAATATATAAAGTTTCCACAAATGTTAGCTCTAAAATTTTTTAGGGGTTTTAAATAATTTTAAAGTATGTTAAAAAGTAAGCAGTAAAAAAGTAACGTCGATCAAAAATTATTTTGTTGCCTACTTTTAGGCACTTTAATAAGTATTTTTAATTTTTCTTAAAGTAAAAAATATATACAAAAATTAAGTTGTTATTGCGACTTTTGACAAAATAAAGTAAGGCTCTGTTTAAAAAATCACATGGCACAACTAAATAAATTTCTTTCTCTGTCTCCACAGTCACAAAGGACACTGGATCCGTTCATGGACTATATTTGCGGTGGCGCAAAAATGTTTTCGGCAATGAGGAATGTCGCACAGGAAATTGGAGGCGCGTCGCACACATACGCATGCATAATTAATGTGCTTTGTGTGGGGGCGGATGTGTGTGTTCTATTTCGCCTAATTGTGAAGCGTGGCCAAAACCACCGAGTGGGTGAGGCACACACACACACACACTCACAGACAAACAGGCCGAATCAACGTTTAATTGTCGCCTTTGACATTGCAACAATTTCAAAGTGGCTGCTGCTTGAACACCCCGGCCACACAGCCTTTGGCCGCTTTAATTACAAATTCCAAGCATGCTTGGCTCATTCAAAATCGATGGCCAAATTACGCCTGTTCTTGTTCTTGCTACTTGTCTTCGCCCAAAAGCTAAGTACAAACTTTCAATCAACTCTTTATGCTGTTAATTAATGCATGGATTGGCTGAAGTACTGGCCATTCAACTTTAAAGAGTTTTCGCTTTGAATATTCTTTACTTGCCTTTTCTGGCAAAAAATACTCTAATTTGAAGAGAAAACTTGAAACTTTAACATTTTGGACCAAGACATTGTCTAGTTTGTCGAACTGAATAAAGTTCTACTCCACCCATTTTAAAATAATAATTATAAATTAAAATTAATTTTGCTGTTTTCCCCCCTGACTGTTAAATAAAGTTTTATTATATTCTCATCATATTCTTAATTTTTCCCCCAAACTTTAAAAAAAATTCAGTTTAATTTGTGAATTTTGATTTGGTTTTACAGCTTTACGGGTGACTAAATATTTTTCGTAATTCCAGTTAATTGTTGTTCAACATAATTGGTCTTTAAGGAATTGGTTCTACTCTTTCTTCCCCTCTCTTAAGTGAACCTACCTATTAATCGTGTTCGCTGAACTTGAAAGTCACCTTGCCTTGCCGTCGTTTGATGCGTTTTTTGACGCCAATCAAAGCCACGGGGAGTGCTAATGGTTTGGATGATGGTATATAGCTCCCTGTACCATAATAATGCGTGAGTATGTGTGTGTCTAGGGGCGCTTTGTTTGGCTTTGACATGTCAAACAGCGAACAACAAAAGCGGGGGGCCAAGCGAACAAACGAAGACGTTGCAACAGCACCAGCAGCTTCCAGAACTTAACATTGTTGCAAATTACAAGTAAATCCAAAACGGCTCAATGCACAACATCCTTTCTAGTGGAAAAAGGGGGAGGGGAATGACAGACTGTGGGGATGAGGCGAAGATGGGTTATGGTTCTGCCAGACGTTCAATGTTTCCGACTCGTTGGCTCGGCTTTAAGTTCATTTTTACTGGGTTAGCAAAGGACCATCATAAAAATTGCTTTTCAGCTTCTGTTCTGTTCTGTATTTTTTCTCCATTGGCCTTTATGCCGACCGGGTTTATTGTTTGCTTTCATTGCGCTTTGTATTACCCCCTCCGTTCCCACCCCTTTTCACAAAGTCTGCAATTAAGGGCGCCGCAGCTTATTTACGGACTTCGCCGGCGAACGCGGCGTATGCGCAATGCATACACACGTTGTGTGGGGCAATGAAAATGTATTTTTGTACTGCATATTCACGCTTTTGTTTGCTTAAATGCTCCGTAATTAAAACGTGTTGAGGCCAGTTGCTCTGCAAAAGTAGAGGATGGTATTTTTGCAAAGCAGCGCGGAATTTTTGTTAAGGTCCGGTGCATTTTACCAGTGGAAATTCCAGCTTGTTTTAAGTAGGAAACTGCTTTGCAAACAAGGTTTGTTTAACATTTTACAGCGTGGAACTCTTTAAATTAACAATTATACTCTTCCAACTTTTTAATGAATTTTTTCGAAAAACAAGCTGCTTTAAAAATATAGTTTTTATACGCTTTAGAGCAGAAAACTTTTTAAACTAGACCAAACCAACTTTAGGATGCATTTTTCCAATAAACATAAATATGTTTTAAAAGCAGTCATTCAAATTAAATTTTAAATTGTTTCAGTTTTCTATGGTGCAATTAAAATCAACCCCATAAATCTCTGAAAAAGGATCAAATTGTAGTATTTGTTAATTAATTTAATTAATATAGATTTAATTCATTTAAAGACTTTACCATGGCCAAATTTCGTTTGCCATTTCTGCGACAAACCATTAGCCGATTGGCTGCGAAATTCCGCTTAAAGCTGGGCTTGGTTCGTGCTGAAGTAATCTGTATTTCATTCCCTTCGTTTTTATGATTTATTTTCGTTAAGGACCCTTTTTTCGTCCGCCCTCATATACATTTTTCATTATTCTGTATTCCGCATACATATATATTGGCCATGTATTTTTATGTGACGAAATGCCTGATGGCATTCGGTTGCCACGGCGACGTCAACAGAACGTTAAGCGGGATTAGGAGCGCCGCTTTGCGCTTTTGTTTTTCGAATGTCGCCAACATCATCAACAAGGTGACATAAGAGCAGTGAACAAATAAAAAAAGGCCCAAGATTTGTGCCCCCCATCCCAGTACATCTCATTCCATCCAGACGTTTGCACATCTTAACGTGGCCATATTTTGCATATGGCTTTAATGGCGGCTTAGCGGCGTAAAAATAGCAAAAGTCGCTTAAACGTGGGTGGTGGTGATGGTGGAAACGAGGCCAAGACAAAGGAGATACTGGCACAAAGTAGCTCTTGTACCGACAGCTTTGTTGTCTGGATGCCACACGCAGCTCGCAGTTCGCAGCTCGAGGCAGCTAAAATGCGCAGCAAACTTCGGGCCAAAGCCGGTGGAAGAAAGTTAAGTTGCTGAGTAGGCAGGCGAAATGGGTTAAGAGGCTGAGGGATGCGGCAATTGCTACTGTCAGCTGAGCAAAGTTTTTAATTAAAATAACCGAGCAATAAAACACACAGACACACAGTTGGGAGTGGTAAAGGGAGCCATGTTAAATGGGAAATTAGCAGCGACAATTTCTCCTGGTCACATGCATAACGTATACGCCATGAGGGCCGTGTCCTGCGAAGCAATTAAAATTTAACAGCACCCCGACGCAATTCGTTTGCCATTTGTTATTCGCATTCTTTTTTTTTATTCGCACAGAACGCTCTCTGAATATTTATTGTGGTGCTGCTAAGGTCAGTGCCATGGCCTTGAACCCTTTGGTCTAAAATTTCCCCGGCTTTCACGCTTGGTCAGACAATAGCTAAGCGGCAGGGCTCATTAAAAAAACATAAATCAAACCGCAACGTCGGCCTGCAGTTAAAAGCTATCCCATATCCCAGTGCCTAATGAAAATTTTCCAAGTGAAAAGGAAAAAGAATTCAAAAGTAAATTGAAATTGCCCGACTAAACTTGGATTTAGCGGAAGGAGTGTGGAGGGAAAATAAAAAATTCACAGCTTGTCAGGGGGAAAGTATGAAAAGAAAAGGCAAACTGTGATGATGCGTTGGCGTGCGGCCCGCAGCTCTGCAGCAAGATTGATTGATGACATGACGTCAATTTGCCTGAGCCACTCAGTCTCCTCCGAAGTGGAGTAGAGCAGTCCCAGCTACCCAGCTACCCATATCTCCACCTCCAAGTATGCAAAAGGGCCAACCACTTGGGGGCGTGACCAGGGACATGGGCCCGACAACGGCGATGACGATGAAAAGACAATGAAAAAGGCATTAGAACTGCGGTCAGAGCGAGGAAAAAAGAATGTATTATCATGCCGGGCGGGATGAGGAATGATGTGCCACTCGGGGGCGTTCTTGTGGTGCATGTTATGGTCTGTTTGTGGGCGTGGCAGTTGGAAATAATAATAAACACAACGCAAAAGCCCATAGAGCAAGCGAATTTTAGGTGTTGTTTTAATGACGCAGAAGGAAAAAAAATTAAATGACCAGAAAGAAAACATTTAAAAATAGATAAATCAAATAATGGATATGAAAAAAATATTTTAAAACATTCATTATTAAGTTTGAGTAACAAATCAAATTTAATTAAATTCTTAATTTGTTTCATTCGTTTTAGAAATTTTTTTTTTATGTCATTAAGTAGTACCAGTAATTTAAAAGTAGAATACAAAATAATATGTACTAATGATGAATTAACGTTAATCTTCTATTTTCTCCTGTTTAATGACAAAATGCCACCGGACTTCCGCATTTTCCTGTCCATTGCCGGCAATCATTATAATAACGATAACTTTTCTGTTTATTATCTGCCTAGGCTAGCGTTATGCATGATTAATAAAGTTGTTATTGTTGGCTGCCAGTTTTCGTCCCGGGTCTGCCATGGAAATTATGCATAATTGGTGTCACTGTCACCCGTACTGTCGTCCCACACTCACAGTCACATCCCAACATCTCAGCCGTCAGGGACTTCAAATCTGGGGGACCCAAGTGGTGGCTACCCCAATTTAAAACAAAAACATTTAAGAAGAGAACAGACACATTCCTGCGGGTGTTTAATGAACATTTTCCCACACACACACCTTGAAAATTATGCAAAAATAAATTAAAGTTTCATGTGGCCAGCCGAGAGCTGCAGTGTTTCGGGTTTTCTGGGTGCCAACGAAAAAAAAAAGGACAAGACAGCCCATTAAACGGAAAATAAAAATAAAGGAATAAAAATGAAATTTTAAACACATACCGCAGACGCAAACAAGTCGATGGCAATAGAAATGGGGCATCATCAGAGCAACAGCGTGTGCTACTGTCTCGTTGAGTTGTCCTTGCTGGGGACTCCGCGTCTACTACATCATGTTGGCAGTCCGGGCACGTCCTCTAATGCTGCGACTGCAAAGATAAAAACCAAGATATAAAGCATAAAAATCGGCCCGGCAATTACTTCAAGTGATGGCTTTCTAATTTAGGGCTTAATTTGTGTGGATTTAAGGCGCGGCGCGGTAGCAAATATTTTTTTAAGCCCAGCCATCAACTTGGGCCGAGATACAGCTGAAGGTAAAGGTAAACGGAAAGGTAAGGAATTCGCAACACTTTATGGGCGCCCAGGCAGACGGCCAAAAATATCGTGATGCCCTCGGGCACGTTACGTATACGCCCCCAATGACATGTACATAAATTTAATGCTAGAAATGCTCCGCTCGACACGACTCGACCCTGTCTGTGGATCCGTTTTCCTGGGTGTTATTTTCGTCCTTTTTTGGCCCGCCACTCACACACACACACCCATACATATCGTATAGCGCCTCATTCGTTGTCGTCGGCATAACATTTCCGCTTTCGGCTGCATGAGTATCCGTTTCCGTTGGCTGAGACCACGCACTTAGCCCGGTCCGCTATTCGTGTCCAAAAATAAAGTAAATTAGAGTGCGCGACTCTCCAGTTTGAGTTCGTTTTTTATCCCATTAATTGTGTTTGCCTGTTTTAGATTGAGGGTGCTCCCCCAAAGGGCTCCCGAAATCCAACTTTGATTGCCTCGAGAGCGGGCAAGGTGGTGAGATGTAATTCTGGGATTGGCGAGATTGGAATTTGGTGATTCGATGATTGGCCGTTTGACTAAGGGCACGGGAATCCTGTGCGGAAAATTGTTGAAATGCTCAACAAAATACCCAGACATTAGAGATTTACTCATCTCCATTATGCTTTCAGCATACCACTTTGGGAAAATTAAATTATAAATGTCGATTTAAAATGAAATCTTTGAAAGAAATGGCAATTCAATGCGCCAATAGTTATAGTGAAATATTCAGACTAAATATATTTATTTATATTTTATTTGACCTTTAAAGCGAATCACATAGCCAGAAAATTTCTGTTGCTATTTCGTGGAAATTCGAATAATGGATTAGATTTATTAAACCATAAAAAAACAATTTAAAAAAAGAGAAATTGGTTCATAAAATGTCGAGAGACTTGTTTATTTAAGAATTAAAGAAAAACATTCAACAAAATCAAAATAAATCTAGTTGCTTTTTAAAGAAAAATAGAATTATTGATTCAAGCTATTTATGCCCGCCTCTTTCCACTTTAATGCAATTGAAGAAAATTGGCTCAGGGAATTAGAATACCCAGATGATCAAAATAAGACTGTTAATTAACATACCTCCTCAAATCAAATCAAGCATTAAAGAGCTGCCTCTGTGAATATTTATGGCCAGCCAGAGCTGAGCTGTCTGAATGTCCTTTTAATATCCCCATCACAATACTGTCAGAGTTCGGATTTAAAGCTGTTTGTCCTTGGCTAGAAGCATTTTGAATTGGCAACTGAAAGTCAAATCAAAGCCACAGGCAGTGCCGGCATGACACAAAACACAAATGCACGTCAACAATGTGTGTTGCTGCTGTTGTTGCCTTGGATGTTCCTGTTGCTGTTGCGTCAGGCAATTGCACATGCCAAAGCGAATGTGGAACGGCAGAAGAAGCACTGCAGGACAGCCAACCTGCAGGGCAGTTAAAATAGATAGCCCATTGACCATTCCTCCTGATCCTGGGGGCTTTTGGGGCAAGTGTTGCAGGGGCAGTGGAACTGGGAGAACTGGGAGCCGCAGCAACAATGCAAATGGAAATGTGCAACGCAGCGCGACACACAAAAAGCTACGCTCCAAAACCGACAGGACTGTCAAAGTGACGACCGTCCTTTTGCTGGTCTGCCTTTTCGCCCTTCGACGACGCCCTCGCCGATGGCTCTGTGTTGCGACTGCCACTTGCCACATGCCACAGCCAGCTGTATTTGCACTAAAAGCTTTTGTTAATGGTTGCGTCAATATTTTGCCATGCTTTAATAACACCGAAAAACGTAGCGAAACCGGAGAACCGAAAACGGAAATCGGGAAATGAGAACGAACAAAAAAGATACGAAATAAAAGAATGAATTTCAAAAAACACTAAATTCACTTTCTGCATTTGACGAATGGAATCGAATACAAATATGAATGTAACCCAAGCCGAAAAGGAGAATGAAAGAGAAAAAACCACATAAATTCATTTGCCTTGCTAACCCTTTTCCAGGGTCATACATACGTTTTTGGCAACATCTAACCGAGTTACCTCGCCCTGCTGCCTTTTCACTTTTCCAACTATGCCAAACAGCCAGCCAGCCAGCATTTACACAATATAAACTTTACACGTACAATCATCGCACATACGGAAGGCAAGCATTCGCACATACATTTTGTATGGATAGCCAGGCTCTTGGCATTTCGGGCACGTAAAACATCAACGCATAAATACAAAAAAACACACGGACCATGGAAGTTGAGGCTGTCGAACAGACGGCAAAGAAATGGCGTCCGCCGATCAAAAGACAACACAATGTGCCGCGAATGCGATGCCAAGTCAGTCGCCTCCACATCCACAACATGTTGGGCCGAACACGTAGCCGGGTGACTGATTGGGCTACAAGGATACAAGGATGCGGAGTGCATCCGATTGGAACTGGTTCGAAACTCCAGACAGCGGACGATTGAGGAATCATTGAACCGGATAAGAGATTGGAATTACATAGCTTCAGGTTTTAAAGAGAATTTCGGTAAGATCTAAATTTCTTATTTTGGATTATCTTAGGATATATATATTTATAAGCTCCCACATTAGAATACTAGAAATGTATAGGTAGTTTCTTGTTTTGAATTTTATCTATTTTGCAAGATAAATCTTTCTTAAATTTTATTCTCATATTTTGAAACTTACGTTAAAAAAAATTGTTAAACCTTTTTATTGCTGTTTAAAATGATAAATAATGGTAAATACTAAAATATCATATTTTATTATTATTTTATTATATTTGATGAAGAGTTTAAAGCAAAAACCCAAGATTCCGTTATATAAAACTAGCCAATAATTGTATTAGCATGTCAATTTCTTGGCTATGCCCGATAAAATCCCTTGGTAAATCCTTTTGGACATTTTGCGTTCCACCTGTTTTACCTTTGCTTTTGTGGGCCCATGTGGGCATATGTCAATATTTAAGGCGCCTTTGTGAGCCTCTCTTTGTTGGTTATCCTCTTTAGAAGGCTTTCCCAACCATTTTTGTTTTGTGCTCCCCTACGCTTTCGGCAAATTCAATTTGTTATAATTTGAAAATTTCATTTTTCGTTATGTAAATGTGCTCGATAGGCCGCAGACGAATGCGTGGAAAGTTAAGGAACTCATGACCAGGCCCCCAAACATGCATGAGGTGTGGCAGTAGCAAGGAGTTGGCGCCGCAGAAAAGCAATTTGTGGCAGCTTAAATGTCAATGGGATTCATCCACGATTTCTCGGTTATGGCAATCGGCATTAGTTGTTGCCACCAAGTGTTATGGGCCCTATATGCAGGGGGCTATAAATAGAGCGGCACGTCTCGGTTATTTTTAGCCCCAGGATAAATAGGCGCAAAAAAGTGGGCGTGTGCTACTGGCCATGTCCTGGCCTCAGGTTGAGCCATAAAAAGAAAGTTCTGTTTGGGCAGCTAAAAACAAATTGCAAACAATAAAGCGAGCGAGGTGAAAGGTCCTCCCACACACGTCCTTCAGACTCCCCAATCAGGTGCCAAAAACTTCGGAGTCCGCCCTGGCAAATTGTCAATGAATCGCCCTCTGGGAGAAATGTTGTTGTTTTTCTTTCCCCCTATCGATTGTTTTTACCTCCAGCTAAGTTCGTATTTCGTATTTGCTCTTGTTAATGGCGCCCGTTGTTGTTTCGGTCATTGATTCGAGCATCCAATAAGAGTCGTGTCCTTGTTCTAGTCGCTCCTGCTAATTTAATGAAATTCGATTTCATTGTCTGCCACACTCTCTCTCAAATGACCGTCATAAGTTTTCCCAGCTCCAGTCCCCCAGATTCCCAGAAATGTTATTAGTACAAATCCTTGTTATTGGTTTTAGTACTGTGCATCATGGCGTATGATTAATGTGTACAAATCGCATTAAAGCCTTTCTGTTTGCCCTCAAACCTGCGAATAAAACCTAATCCAGTGCTGGCTTTTTATGGACTTCTCCGGACTTCTGCCCGCATAAAAATATACGATTATTATTACGATTGTGATGTGCACAATTGCGAGCAACAACAATAACAGGGAAGCTCCAGAAAATTTTAGCTCAATAACTCAATCAGATTTCGACACAGCAGATACACACATAAACGTGGAGAAGGAAAAGTAACATTTTGATGCATTGCCTGAGCCAAGAAAAATACAACAAATACAATTGATATATTGATATATTATAGAGAATGAAAAAGTACTTGCAAGCGGATGATTTGTTTTTAATACCCTTAACAAAGCATCTATAAAATATACATTTAAGAATTTAAAAATAGTAGTATTAAGCATGCATATCCACAGTTTCTTAAGTAGTAGTTCACTTTTACTCTTTAGTTCAGCAATTTCCCAAGAATTTAAACTTAAAAACTTTTACTACCTCGTTCACTTGCCGGGAAACTTTAAGACCATTTTGTTTGTAAACACGATTCTCGCTAGCGCATAACAAAGATCGTAAAAACCCTATACTACCCACAGTTAGTGTAATAAAAGCGTGGTTTCCCCAGCTCGCCTTCAGCCAACCCACACCGCGTATATATTACAAAATCGATGAATCAAAGTAAATTACCAGAAATAAATGAGATAAAATATGTGTAAGCGAGGTTGCTACCTGTAAAAGTAAAAGAGGGGCGAAACCCCGGGTGAGCTGGTCAGCATTTCCGTTGGTATATTAGCAAGCTGCCAGCTTGGGTTTCGTATTTTCTTTATTATACCCTTGCAGAGGGTATTATGATTTCAGTCAGAAGTTTGCAACGCAGTGAAGGAGACGTTTCCGACCCCATAAAGTATATATATTCTTGATCAGCATCACAAGA